TATCTATCTATCTATCTATCTATCTATCTATCTATCTATCTATCTATCTATCTATCTATCTATCTATCATCTATCATCTATCTAAAGATGACAAGCATATCTAATACACCTGCCTCCTACTTTCCCCTCAAAATCAACCCTGTGAAGTGGCTGAGACAGAGTGACTCACCCAAAGTCATCAAGCTGGCTTTCCTGACTAAGAAAGATCTAGGACTCACCATTTCCTCATTTCTTCACCACTGCACCAGACTGACTCTCTGCCTAGGAAACTCATAAATTTAAGACAGCTTTTAGTCTAGATGTACAAAGAAGAGGCATTATACTAAAAACATAGGAAGATAAAAACTAGTTTTATGAATTTTTATGAAGGCAGGTTTGCATTTGTATTTTTTCCCAATTACATATAGTATGGAATTGAATCTTGTCACAAGATCATGATATAATGTTCTGAATATCCAAATGCCTAAGAAAAGTTACACTGAACCACAACAAAGATGCATCTAATCTAGTATCCCACATTAGCCAATCATCTCTTTATGGGAAACCCACAAGCAGGAATTCAATAGCATTTCCTGCTCATGTTACTTACAGTAGCTACTTAAATTGGGACATGTGCTGCAATCAGAACTTAAAGCCAATAGAATGCTCCATGTTCAATATTCCAGGCATGTCCGCTGTGGTAAATATAACACTTTAGAGTAATTTAATCTAAGTTAATGTCACCAAGCAATGAATGGTCTAGAATTTAAAACTAAACACCATTTAAGAGTTGACAGTAATTTGATGGCACACAATTGATCTTTTTCCCTCCTAGTTTTCCTACTTGGAGAAGCTGTTACTTGTCCATGGAGCCTGGAGTTACAATCGAGTGACAAAATGCATATTGTATTGCTTTTATAAGAATGTGGTTCTTTATATTATTGAGGTAGGTAACATTCTATGCCTTGTTTGTTTCTCTTTCTTCATTGATAGTAGGAAATGTATATACTATTTAAACTCTCCTGTCTGTTTTTCTGTTTGTAATCTTCATTTGGGCAAAATGGTGCATTATAGGGCAACCATTTTTGAACCAAGGTACCTCAAATGGGCTAAATTAAAGAATGCATCCAAAATTCAGGACTTATGATTCCCGGGGAATCTTCTAGGATCTTCATACAGTTTATTTGCAAAGTTGTGGTCGCTGCAGCATTGCAACAGTTAGCTGCAGTCATGTGATCATGATTTCCAACTACAATGGAATGGAATGGAATGGAATGGAATGGAATAGAATAGAATAGAATAGAATAGAATAGAATAGAATAGAATAGAATAGAATAG